AACCCCGCGGGCCAGGCCGCTAGGGCTACCCCGCGAGCAGCTGGCGCGCGAGACCAAGCCGTTGGGACAACCCCGCGGGTTTCGAGCGGGGCGCCGCCGCGGTCGGGCGGAGAACGCACGAAACCCAGCTCTGCCGCGAGCTGCTCTGCCTCTGCCCTGGAACTCTCCGTTCTGATGTCGAACTCCATGAGCGCCTTCCGCAAGGATGGCGGCGGCCCTGGCTCCAGGGCGGCCGCAGGATCAGCATGTTCCGCATGCGCATGGCGCGGGAGAACATTACGTAGAGGTACAGCCACCATTGGTCGTCCGACATGCCCGTGCGACCAGCGTCGCCGTCCCGCGTGCAGTCGATGGTGACGCCCTTGCGCAGCGATTGGCCCTGCGACAGCGTGGAGGTGAGGTTGGACACGCGCGTCATGGTGAACCCCGTGCGGCGCACGGCGTGCGGCCCCGAGTTTTGCCAGGTGAGCTCCTGCTCGCCGGGCCGGAACATCTGCAAGCTCCGCGCCCGCGCCTCGGCCTCGCCGTCATCGTCGTCGGCGCCTTCGGCGCTCTGTCGCAGCAGGTCGGCGACCCCCTGGCGAGTCGGAAACTCTTCGACGCCGTGCATCTGCAGCCAGATCCCTTGTGGCAGGAAGACTTCCTCGCCAATCATTCACAAACGAGGGTCTCGCCTGACACATCTTCCGTAGTGAAGCCTCATGAGCCCCAAAGAGAGGACAGTTGCAGGTTTGAGGATGACCCGCTTCGGATTCGAACGTGGGATGCGGGTCCCATTCGGCGGAGGTTCCCGCTTCAGATTTCCTCGCAATTCACTCACAGACGAGGCTCCCGCCTAGTACTTCCCCCATATTGAAGCCGCAGGACCAAAAATGGCAGCTACAGGTTTTCCGATGACCCGTTCGGATTAAATACGTGAGCTGCGGGCCCCATAGGTAGGGGGGTCCCTTGTGAGACTTCCTCACACTTCACCCACAAACGAGGTTCCCGCCTGATACTTCTTCCATAGTCAGGCCTCAAGGGTTTACGTGCGACCACAGTTACAGATTTTCCGATGACCCGCCCGGGCTAAACAAACATTGGTGGCGGGCCCCACATGGAGGGGGCTACCGCTTTAAACTTCCGTGCGACTCCCTCACAAAAGCGGCTCCCGCCTGAGATGTTCTCCGCGTTCATGCCTCAAGGGCCCAAAAGTGAGGACAGTTTCAGGTGTTCTGGCGACCCAGGGCCCATAGGGAGGACACTCCCGCTTATGACTTCTTGTCCATGCACTCACAAACGAGCCTCCTGCCTGATACGCCCTTCAGATTCAAGCCCCAGGAGCCCAAAAGTGATGAGAGTTACCGGTTGTCCGATGACCCGTTCGGAGTTGTTGTTAGCATGTGTTGTTTGAATGAGCTGCGGCCCCATAAGGATTGGGCGCCCGCTTGAAACATTGTTTCATGTCACTCACAAGCGAAGTTCCCGCGAAGTTCCCGCCTGATGTTTCCTCCGATGCTGAGGACGATGGTGATGGGTAGTGGTGACGATGGTGATGGTGGCGGGTGATGGGTGGTTATGGTGACAATGCTGATGGTGACGATGCACAGACGAGGTTTTTGCTTGAGACCTCCTCAAGCTGAGTGCGTGGGCGTGTGGTCGTCAATGAATGAGTGAGCCATCCAGGATAAGTGAGTGAGCCTGAGTGGGTCCGACTGAGTGTGAGTTAGTGTGTAAGTGACGACGATGTTGCGATGATGTTGATGTGAGTGCGTGAGTGTGTGGGTGAAGAAAAAGTGGGTGTTCCTTCCATCCTGTTCTTGCGCGGGGTGTCAAGAGAAAACACGAACCCCACTTTGGATGTGGGGGAACACATGCAAACTGATCGCGGGGCGTCCGCGCATGATTCAGAGTGTGGTACAAGGTGCATTTTGCGATTATTCCAGGGATGGTGGATGGGGGGTGTTGGTTTGCGCGCGGCATGTAATGTGATGACAATCCCGCCGTCCCTGTCAAAAACAAATGCGAAGTGGTCGCTGGGCGCCCGCGCATGCTCCCAAATTGGAGAAACATTGAATTGTGGAGGCCTTGCGGCCGGTGCCGCCGACCCAGATGGACGACGACCACGACCACGACCACGACGACGACCACGACGACAACAACAACGACGAGCTGATGACCCAGCCACAAGCTTGCGACATGGGGCGGTCGGCGGAGGGAGGAGGAGGAGGAGGAGGAGGAGGAGGAGGAGGAGGAAGATGGGGAGGGGGAACGGGGGCGGATGAGGAGGATGGGGAGGAGGAGGAGGAAGAAAAGGAGGAAGTGGAGGTGGAGGAGGAGTGCGAAGAAGAGGAGGAGGCGGAATGATACAAATACTAGTAATCAAACTATAGAAATGGTAATACTAATCATGATAATGATGATAATGATAGAAATAGTAGTAGTAATAATACTAGTCGTAATAATAGTAATTTTTATATCCGTACTAATACTAGTAATACGAATCACGATACGACTACTACTACTACCACTACTACTACCACTACTATTACTACTACTACTACTACTACTTCTACTACTACTACTACTACTACTACTACAACTACTACTACCATCACTACTACTTTCAATAATGATAATAATCATAGTAATAATACTGATAATAATCGGAGGTGAGGGGGTGAGATCGAAGTGGAACGGAGAGCCCCCCTACCGGGAAATCGATTTCGGTTTCGTGTTCGTGCGTGCCGTGCGTGCGGGCGAGGCGAAGCTGCGTGGGCGGGCGAGAGGAAAGTCTCCTGTGGCTGAGGCGCGGCCGGACCAAATGATTCTCCACCGGGCGGCCGGTGGCGCGCGGTGTCCCGCCGGTGTCCCGGTGGTGTCCTCTGTGGCTGAGGCGCGGCCGGACCAAATGATTCTCCACCGGGCGGCCGGTGGCGCGCGGTGTCCCGCCGGTGCCGGTGTCGGTGTCCCGTCGGTGTCCCGATCATGATGTTGATGATGATGATGATGATGATGATGATGATGATGATGATGATGATGATGATGATGATGATGATGATGATGATGATGATGATGATGATGATGATGATGATGATGTTGATGATGGCGATGATGATGATGATGATGATGATGATGATGATGATGATGATGATGATGATGATGATGATGATGATGATGATGATGACGTCGATTGCGAGATCGATTGTGATATCGGTAGTGAGACCGAATGTGAGATCGATTGTGAGATCGATAGTGAGATCGATTGTGAGATCGATAGTCAGATCGATTGTGAGATGATGATGGTGATGATGGTGATGATGGTGATGATGATGGTGGTGACGATGATGATGACGTTGATGATGTTGATGAAGATGGTGTCCCGATGACGAGGATGTTGATGATGATGTTGATGATGGTGATGATGATGATGAAGATGATGTTGATGATGATGATGGTGTCCCGATGATGATGATGATGATGATGACGTTGATGATGATGATGTCGATGATGATGATGGTGTCCCGATGTGAGACCGAATGTGAGACCGAATGTGAGATCGATAGCGAGATCGATTGAGTGAGACGTTGGTTCCCCCTCCCCCCTCACCTCCTTATCACCCGCAGGGTGGTCGTATAGGTATTAAGAAAAAATAGTATTAAGAATTCGAATACTAATAGTATTAATCCTGATGATGGTAATAGTATTAGTAATATCAATATTCATAACACCAATAATAACAATACTAATAACAACAGTAATAATAATAATAATAATAATCACAATAATAATAATACGAGGAAGATGCGAACGAGAAAGTGGAGGAGGGGGAGGCCAGCTCCAGGGCGGGAAGCGCCGAGGTGGAGGAGGACGAAGACACAGAGTCGCGTGCAGGAGGAGGCCGATGGGCCTGAGGAGGGGCGCCGAGAAGGAGGACGAAGACAGAACGCCGCGTGCAGGAAGAGGCCGAGGGGCCTGACGAGGGGCGCAGGCGCCAGCGCAGACGGGCCAGACAAGTACGAAAAGCGGTAGCGGAGGGAAGCAGAGGAAAATGAACGGCGCGGGCTTGCGGGGGCTGCGCGCGGTCCGCTCGCTTCGGGGCCCTCCTCCGACCCCAGGGCCCCAGGGCATACGACGGAGGAGGAAGACGAGGACACGGAGGAGGAGGAGGAGGAATACAAGGAGGAGGAGGAGTGGGAGGAGGAGGAGGAGCAGGAGGAAGAGGAGGAGGAGAAGGAGGAAGAGTAGGAGGAGGTGGAGGAGGAGGAGGAGGAGGAGGGCCGTCTGGGAGGCGACGCGGCCGAGGCCCCAGGGCCCCGGGACCCCAGAGCCAGAGCCGGGGTCGGGGCTGGGGCCGGGGCCAGGGGCCGCGGGGCAGGGCGGGGGCCGGGGCCGGAGCTGGGGCCCGGGCCGGGGCTGGGGCGGGGGAGGGTCATGAGCTCCTTGCTGACGGGGAGACCACCCGTGCATGCCCCCCTTTTCCACAGGACAGGGGGACCGCCCGGGAGAGAGGAGGTAGGGTCGCCAGGCCCCCGGGAGGGGGGGGCGGTAATCTGCCCTGGGCCCCTCCCCCACACCAGCCCCCCCGCACCCCCTCCCCCTCCCCCCTGCCACCGCTCCCTCTGTCAGGGAGGGGACAAGGGGAGGGAAGCGGCTTAAGCACCACTTTTTTTCAGGACGCTTCTTTTCTTTCGCTGATATATTTCTGTGGGACTGGCGACGACGACGAAGAAGACGACAGCGTCTCACACACGCTGACGCGGATTGTGCCATATTTTTTGACAGGGGGGTTGTCTTGGGGGAGCCGCACGAGTGCCTGCATGGGTCCAGATTATGGGGGAGGGGGGTTACTTACATGGAGCATTGCAGAACCCTTCTCCAAATTGAAATAGGGAAGATGGACAATGAAACTCGCTAAACCACTCATGCCCAGAAAGCTGGGGGGATTTCTGCTCATCCCCATCCATCCTCCTGCTTTTTACTCCTCTCCCTCTCTATCTCCCTCCTCCTCCCTGCCCTCCCCCATCCCTCCTTCTTCTTCCTCCCCCCATTTTCTACCTCGAAAAGCCGTCAGGGCCCAGGCGAACACTCCTTGGCCGCAGAGGCCAACCAATCGTGAGACTACTTTTGCTTTCTCAGCTTAACGCCGACTCTAGGTCGGTCAGGACGGGGCCCACCTTTTAGGCGATTCGGCATTCCAGTTGGGCAATGAAGCTCCTACTTGCGCGTGATAGCTGGCCGTCTGCCGCCGCTGCTGGAGGAAGAGCCGGGACCCATTCCCAGCGGCGACGAACACATCTCTGCGGGTTTCTTGGCTTTGGCGGCGCGCCTTGTTCGGCCGTCCAATTGATATTCGCTTTTGCCAACCAAGCCTGCTCGCACAGCCAATGTGCGCGAAATAATGAGGCTATGGGATACACATATTGATCGACACGAAGTTCCAGGTGCATCCGCGATTGCCGAAGCGGTCAAGAGCCAACTTGCGGTAGTTGAGCATGTCAATGGCGATCAGACGCGCTTTGGCAAGCTTAATGCCACCGATGTTCCGATCGGGTCAGGACAGAGCGCATAGTCTAACTACAGGACCACCCTTCGGGAGATGAGGAGATGAGGTTAGGGGGGAGGAAGGGTGCAGCTTTCGGTTTGCGATCTCACCCCAACGTCCGACTCTCATGATGATCTTGCTGGTGCTGGTAGAACGGTGACCTCTCCTCAGCCTCGATCCCTCCCTCCCAGCGGCATTCTTGCTCGCTTCCCCTGCGAGAGGCCCAGGAGATGATACTCGAGCAGTTTGTGGAGGAGGCCCCGCGATGGGAGAGGGCTGTTTCACAGAGGGCGTATGGAGGACAGGGGAGATCAGGGGTGACCGTGGCGCTGCTGACCCCAACCTGTTTCATGACCTCGGGGGTCGGGGATCGCGTGGGTTCACGGGGTGGCCACAACAGCACCAGGGATCTTGAAAGTCGTGACACGTCGATGGTTGGTAGTATTCCTCCGCCGTCTCCTGGACCAAGGGGATCGCTGCCTCGTGGATTGCTTCTTTTGTTTCCCAGCTGCCTGATAGCTTCTTCATTTCTGTGACTGCCCTACCTGACAGCCGCTTCACGGCTACTGCCGACCACCGCCCACTGGTCCAAAGTAGTGAGTGTCAATCGGTGTGTTCCTACGTGATTGTTCCGCCTCCCGTCTGCACCTCCCTCTCCCGGATCGAGGTTCGTCCGTCGAGGTTACTAGCATTGGCGCGAAGAGAACCATACGTCTCGCTTCGCGCCCTTGGCCGAAGGGCCGCCCTCCTTAAAGGGGCGTGCGCGAGCTCGCGAAGATGAGCGTGCTTCTCACGGCGAGGAGCGCAAAGTTTGGTGACCTGGGTCCGTTGAGGGTGGGTGCCAGAGGTGGCGGGTGAGGACCGGGTGAGGCTGCGGGGGATCGCTCGTTGGTCCTGGGTGCCGGCAGCGGCCCCCTGAAGCTCTCTCGGCGGCCTCTTTGGCACCTCTTAGGACCGCAGCGTCACCGTCTGGTCCCGCTTTGTCCAGTTGTCCACCCAGCCTTGTGCGGCTTCCCCTCTCCGCCCTCCGTTTGGATGTGGCGAAGGCTTGGGGGTGTTTTCCTGCTTAGGCTGACGGCACTTGGACTTGGTTGTTTTTCCGTTTCCCTCTCCTCTGCACGCGTTGCTGGGCCAAAACGTCCAAAAACATGTGGGCTTGCTGGAGCAGCGGCTAGCGGCGTCGCAGCGCTCTGGCTTGAGCAGCTGGGCTGGCCATCCTGACCAGGCCGCTCCTCCTGCTCTTCATCGTCGCCCGAGCCGCCCTCGCCCGGGTCTGCCCGAGCGCGGCCATCCTCGGGCCCCACAACCGTGGCCGTCGCGGAGAAGCTTGCATACAGTCCGACCCCGAGCGACGCGTCGAGCCACGTCAGCATCGCGAAGATTGCCGTCGCCACGCTGCATTCGAGCGTGTAGACGGGGCCGCATCTGACAGCCGCTGCGAGCCGCGCGACCCCTCCGGTCGCCGCCCGCACTGGAGGGGGGTCTTGGCCCAGTCTTTGGCCAGCACTCCTTAGAATGCCTGGCCCGAGCCGCAGGCCGGGCAGGCGAGCCATGGCCCCGCCCGCGCACCCCAAAGAATTGGCCTTGCATGGGGCTTTGAGCCCAGAGGGCCACAGAACAGGCGGCTACGCGCGTGAGCAAAACCTCTGTTATATCTAAGGTCCAAGAGGAGGAGGAGGAAGAGGAGGAGGAGGAGGAAGAGGAGGAGGAGGAGGGGGGCGGAGAAGGACCATCCCGCGGGCGCCCCCCCCGCCCCACCTCTTCCTTCGAGGCGCGCTCCGGGCGCAAGGCCTTCGCGCTGCCTCGCTCCGCCGTGAGCGAGCTGGAGCCAGGCGGGCCTCCCGCCCCGTCTCGGAGGTTCGAGGGTACGTAGAGGGAGGATCAAGGTGATGGTATTAAGCGAACCTGGCTCCATGGTTGGATGCCCACATTTCCGTTTCCAGGGGCCGTTGAGAGTGATTTTTCACCAAGGCCCCTTGTCCCACCTTTACCACCCCGTGAAATGAGGTGACGTAGGAGGCCCGGGCGGATTTGCTGGGTCGGAGTTGGACCCTCTTTCCTTAAGCATCAGCAAATGCGCTCGGGGTCCGAATTCCTTGAACTGTGCGCTGGAACTCGGCAAAAGTCCGCCCGCGTGCTGCGTCCGCGCCGTCCGTGCCCATGTGCCGTGCCGTCGTGCCAGCCCGTGGCGTGCGCGGGCTTCGCCTTCTGTTCTGGGACGCGCCGTCCGCGTGCCGTGTCCGCGCCGTGTCCCTGTGTTTGTGCCCCCTTCCCGTGGCGTGCCGTGCCCGTGCCCGTGCCGTGCCGTGCCCGTGCGCTCTGCCATGCCGTGCCCGTGCGCTCTGCCGTCGTGCGGAACCTCGCGCGTGCTTTGCACGTGTTTTGGGACACGTCAGCCGCGTCGTGTTCGCGCCATGCGCGTGCCGTGCCCGAGTACCGTGCCGTTGTGCCGTGCTGTCGTGCCGCGTCCGTGTCGTACCATGCCGTGCGTTGTTTGTGTTCGGGGCCGCGTGCCGTGTCCGCGCCGTGCCCGTGTGCAGTGTCGTGCCGTGGCGTGCGCGTGCTTTGCTCGTGTTCTGGAACGCGTCAAACGGACCGCCCGCGTGTCGTGCCCGCGATGTGCACGTGTGCCCGTGCCGTCGTACCGTGGCTGCCGTGGTTCGCGCCAGGCGCGCCGCCCGCGCGCCGTGCGCGTGTCGTGCCCGTGCCGTGCCCGTGTGTTGTGCCGTCGTGCCCGTGTCGTGCGCGTGTTTTGCTTGTGCCCTGGAATGCGCCAGATTTGCCGCCCGTGTGCCGTGCCTTGCCGTCGTGTTGTGGTGTGCGCGTGTTTTGCCTGTGTTTGGGGACTCGCCAAACGCACCGCGCGCGTGCCGTGTCTTGCCGTGTCCGTGTGCCCGTGCCGTCCGTGCGGTGATGCGCCTGGGATCTCGAATGCGCAAGTGTGCTGGGTCGCGCCGCGCAGATGATGTGTATAATCGGAGACGCCTACGGCGAATCGCCGCCGCCCCCTTTGCCTTGTAGGATGCGCATGTGTGGCCAACCGTTTGGGCGCAGTTTGGCCACTGTATTGAACCATGCATTCCCCCAGTCGTGGTGGAACCCCCTCGGGGAACACGTGGGGGAGGCAGAGGAGGATAAGGAGAGGGAGAGGATGAGGAGGATGAGGAGGAGGAGACCTTCGGGGAGCTCCTTGGGTAATTCTTAGAGCTTCGCGGGGGCCTCTTGGAGGCCTCTTGGGGGCTTCCTTGGGCCAATTGGAGGCCGTTAGGGGCCTCTTTGGCCGCCCTGCGGCTTCCATGCCCGTCTGACGCCGTTGGAAGCTATCGTGGGAGCCTCTCTGGGCCGTCTTGGGTCCCTCCTGGGGCGCTTCAGGGTCGTCTTGACGGCCATCTTGGGCGTTTTGGATGCTTCTTTGGCCGTCGTGGGGCCCCGTGGGGGCCGTCTTGGGAGCGCCTTGGGCCGTCATGGGTCCACCTTGGAGGTCTCTGGGGCGCTCTTGGGGCGATCTAGGAACGATCTTGCGGGCCTCGTGGGCCGTCTTGGACCGTTGGAAGGCCCAAAAGAAGCAAATGAATGCCAACATCTCAAAACAAACAATCCGAGGAACATCATTGCTTGCTGCCTCTTCGGGCCTTCTGGAGGACCCCGTGGAGGCCTCTTGGGCCAGCTTGTCAACCTCTTGGAGGCCTCTTGGACTTGGACCGCCTTGGGCCGTCTGGAGGCCGTCTTAGGCTGTCTTGAGTGCATCTTCCCTCGTCTTGGATACATCCGGCCACAATCTTGGAGCTTCTTGGTACCACTTTTGCCGTCTTAGAGATCATCTTAGCCGTCTTGGAGGCTATTTTGTGGCCATTTTGGATGGTAATACCGATGGATTTCACATGTTCCTGGGTTTTCTGGGTGGCCGGAGGGGTTGACCGAAGTCACGCGGAGGGTGTTTTTAAAAAAGAACCAACAATCTGCCAGACGTTCGGCACGTTGTGCACCCCTGTGGCAAGACCACGGGGCGGCGGACCTCATGGCCGTCGGCCCATCTCTCCACTAAGATGTTCGTTGGGATGGGGCGGGAGGTCTCCTGGGGTCGTTTTTGAGCCTCTTTGGAGCGTCTTCGAGGCCTCCTGGGCGTCTCTTGGGGCCTCCTTTTGATCACCTCTAGGAATCTCCTGGGGGCCTCCTGGGGGCCTCTTAAGACGGAAGACTCGGAATTTTGGGTCGTGCTCCCCTTCTTGGACCCTCTTGGAGCTGTTTTGGGGGTTACTTACGCCGTGTTGGGGCCATTTGGGGCCTTGTCAGGGCCCTCCTGGGGGCCTCTTGGGCAGTCTTGAGGCGGCATTGGGGGCCTCTTGGACCGTCTTGGAGCGTCGGAAGCTCGAAACGTCGAGGACCCTCAGATCATTGAAGCACATTCGGGAAACACATGGTTCTGACCTTTCGGGGCTTTCTTGGGAAAGCTTGTGGGGCTCCCTTGTGGCGTCTCGAAGGCCTCTTGGGCCGTCTGGGGGCCATCTTGGGCGACGTCTTGGACCGATCGTCCGGCGATTCGGGGACCTCTTGGACCATATTGGGGGGCCTCTAGGGGCCCTCGTTGCCCGTCTTGGGGCCTTCTTGGGCCCGAACACGTCACGCGAGAACCCGCGATGCGCCCTAGAGGGCACGCGACAAGCCCCGAAGAGTTGGCAATTTGGGGCTCAAGACTGAGGACTGATTCTGACGGGGCTTTGCCAAGGACCTGAGAACACTCCAACTCATGCCTCAGGGCACGGTGGCGGATCACACCGCGTTGCTGTTCAGAGTTTTGTGCTGGTGCTACCAAAAGCAGGTTGAGACGGCCAATTGATCCTTCATGGCCATCATGCCCCGCACCCCCGACTCCAGCACATCTCGCTCGAGGTGCAATGTATCCTGGCTTCGGGGCGGTAAGCTATGCTCGGTTGCCAACAGTGGGGAGAGAGAGGTTGGTTGAAGAAGAGCTGCTAAGACTAAACATCTCATTCGGGTGAATGTCCCGCTTAGTAAGTACACTGTTCGACGTTCACATCTTAGCAGAGAGGTGGGGCCTTGACGTAATGGAGAAGCGGGGGCGCGGAGTGGGCTGGAGGTGCTGCTGTTTTCTCTTGATGCGGTGGAGGTGGACTGGGGCGAGCGCGCGCACTTTCGCGCACCGCGCCAGACTGTCTTCATGGTCGACCGCTGCCGTTGATGGTGAGGCGCAGGGACCCCCAGGGGTGCCCCGCATGGTTCGGCGCCGGCACGCTGGGCCTGGGTGCGTTGATACTCGAGCGTCCCGTCGCGACGCCGATGACAGTCCACGCCGCCCTGTCCACGGGCGGCGCGATCGACCGCAGCTCTGCGCTTGATGAGGGCGGGGCGCTGAAGTTCAGTGCTTGCTGGCTCGCGCAGCCTGCGAGGCGCGCCGCGCGCTCGACGGTGGACCGCAAGCGCAGGTTGAAGTACTCGAAAGGGGCCTGGCTTGACAGCACGGTGACGACTGCCAGGAAGGAGATCTCGCTCGCGTCCAACTCATGGCTGGGGCCGAGCAGCTCCTGGGCGACCTGGGCAACGCTGTGCGCGCCCACCCAAGTGCCGAGAAGTTCGCGGATCTGCGCCGCGATGCCGCGTGGCCCCGTGGCCAGCGGCCGACCCCGCGCGATCTGGCCCGAGCCGAGCCGCTTTCTCGGGGCGCCTCCGCGTGCTTCGCGCCAGAGGCCCGCGGTCGGGGCGACCTGCGGCGCGGGCGGGCCGGCGGCGCGACAGCGTTCGGAGCTCGCGAGGCGATGCGCCGACGGCTCGCGAGGGAAAAGGCCGCGGCCCTCGGCGTCCTGCGGGAGGAGGGCCCGCAGGTGAAGAATGAATGTGGCCGGCTTGCATTCGCGAGTCGCCTTGGAAGGCGCGCGAGATCATCGGAAAGGTGGTGAACGAACGGTTTCTTGTGGCCCAGTCCACGCCTTTGGAGATCGCTCTCATGAGTGCGATGGCCGATGTTGTCGGCACTAGGGCCGAGCTGCGACGTTGGCGTCGGACTGCAGGGTATCTGGGGTCCGTCGCGGATACTGGTCACGTCCGCGGCAAGGGCCTGTTGGAGTGCGACGAAAGCGTCGCGTTCGCGAGCGATTTCACGGTCAGCGCGGTGATAGAGCTGGTTGAGCTCGCCTTGGACGAATGGCGGGTGGACGTCGCCTCCGCAGTCAGCTGCCCAGGCCCCTTCTTGTAGAGAGAGAGGTGCCTTCAGCGTGCGTTCCGTTGCAGGCCGACTGGCTGGGCGCCGAACGCGTCCGTCAAGAACGCTCTGGCTCCGTCGCCTTTGCCGAGCGACGCTGAAGAGGACTAAATCGCCGTCGTCGGCGGCGGCGGGGTTTGTTCCCCTGTCCTACACCCCTGCTCCCTCACTTCCGTCTTCCCTGTCTATCTTTCCTTCTCTCGTTCTGTTCGCCATCCCCCTCCATCCTCCTCCTCCCTCTGTCTCCTTTCTTCCGTCTCCTCCCCTCTACCCAATCTACCCCTCTCCCGCTCTGCCACTCCATGCCCGCCCATTCCAGCTCGCCCTTCTCCCTTCCTTTTAACAGGTTCCTCTCCTGGTCCTTTCACTGCCTCTTACCCCCTCCCCTGCATCGGGAGAGTGAGAGCGGGTTATTTTTCGTGTTAGTTCAGGGGCCACGCTGGGGAGACAATTTTGAAGACTGGGGGTGTGGGCAGCGCTGAGGGTCCCCATGTGAGTTTGTGCTGCATCGGAGGCAGGAGAGGAAACAACTCGCCATCCCGGGTGCGGCAACGATCAAGACCCGCCAGAGAAAGGCGAGGCCCGCGCGATGCACGACGCCCTCGGCCACGGGCCTCGTGAGGGATGCTCTGGAGGCGGAGCGGGAAGAGAGGCAGGCGCGGCGCGGGAGAGTAGGGCGTTTGAGGGTGCTGCCATAGTGTAGCTATGCCGGCGTGCAGGCGGCTGTCCTGATTTTCGAACGATCCGATCCACCTACGCGGACTCGTAATGTGTATTTGCCCCTGCCCGCGTCATCCTGAGATTTGTTATCCTTGACATCTGTTGCAGCACTGGATGCGCGGTGGACGGCCTGTAGACTCTAAGAATAGAAAGCGTTCGGAGGGTCGCGCGGATTCAAGACGGTCGCGTGGACATCCGAAAGTTTGTTTGTATGTGGTTGACTTCTCCTAGGTGAACTGCACGTTGCATCCGAGGCAATTAGGTGGACTCAGTGGTTGGATGTGATCTGTTCTGTCGGCGCTCGCATCAGGAAAAGAGGCGTCAAAGCTTCGACTTGTGGCCGCCCCAGAGGATTGTGGGTCGCGGGCGGGGGTTGGGGTGGAAGATGGTTGTGTGTTCGAAGCTTTCGGTGGCCTTACCCCCGGGCGTGCTCATTGTGTTCGGTTTGCCCGTCTGAGTCTCCACCCTGTCATTATTTGTCTTTTCCTGTCGGCTGCATCACGACCGATCCTCCTCCTCGCCCTCCATTTCCTCCTGGGGGGGTTCGATGTTCGATCGTGGCCCAGGTGTCCAATGCGGCCTCCCTGCTTTCGCGCAGAGGGCCGCCGAAGACAAGACCACCGGGGATTGATGGGAGCGGCGTTCTTAAGGAGAGACTCTCTTCCTAGGGGGGGAGGGAGCAGATGCGGCAAGGGCGGGGCCGCCCCCCAGGCTGTCCAGCGGAGTTCTGCCCCCACAGAGATGTGCCGCCGTGGGGCCCGCAGCGGCTGCGGCAGGCGCGGGCATGTTCGCGGTAAGCAGGGGGGTAACAGTCGCCAGATTGGAGAAGAGGGAGGGGGGAGGCCGGAAGGACGAGGAAAGAGGAGGGGAGGGACGAGGGCGTGAGTGAGGGATGAGGACCGCGGTTCCATTCGGGGAAGGCGGATCAACTCTCCGAATGAGCCAACAGAGGTTTCTCTTCCGTGCTGCAATCCGGGGGGCAAAATAACAAATGGAAAGATGGCGGCAGGGAGGAGCGAGGATGATGTCGCGCATGCTTCGTTTCCATGACAGGGCCACGCGCTCTCGCCGCGGCGCCACCCAATTTGTGTGCAAAGGTCAACACAACATTTGACACCCACCGATCCATAAACACCCGCCCGTGGTATCCTTCCCGACAGCTCTCCACCGCGCACGTAAACCACACCCGACGCGATTTTCCACCCCCATCACGCCCTGCGCGAGACAGCCGCATTCCACCTCCCACACGAACTGGCCCAACGAAATCCGAAGTGTCGTTCAAGAGATATTTGTGCCGAGCATGGTACTAGCGACTGGCAGGTTTTGGGGGCAAGACCAGCCCTTATGACACACATGCAACGACGACTGCGCGAATTGGACCACGAGGCTCTACTGAACACCATCTCGGTGCCGCCCATCTGCGGGCCTTTATACGGAATTTCGATCTTTCCTTCGTTCCGAACGTTCCCCCACGGTCCCGCGTTTCTTCACCAATTTGGGGCTCGTCTTCTCTCCCCAGTGCTGCGCTGCGCGGCCCCCCCCCCCTTCCTCGCATCGGCGACTACCGAGGGTGTAGTTACGCTGGGGCGTGGCTTGCCAGCAGCGCCGTTGGGTCCCTGGGGGGCACGACGCTGCCCCCGTCGGGCATTTGCGGGGCGCGGCGGGGAGCCGCGTCGAGGTCTTCGCCCGCCCCCCAGGGTGCCCCCAAAGGGGCCTCTTACAAACCACACCCTTTGCAAACCACACCCTTCGGAGTCGCCGATCCTTCGGCCTTAGATTTGCCGCAGGCGTTGACGCGCGTTTGCTGCGCCACCCTCAGCCGACGAGACTCGGATTTAGATGCCATCAGACATGTTCTAGAGCCGAGCAATGGAAACAACTGCGCAATCACAGCTCGGAAACTTTTCACTCATAGTGCCCCCCGCGTTTCTTCGACAACTTGGGGCCCGCTTTCCCTCCGCACTGCTGGCGCCGCGCGTTTTGCCGCCGCGCCTTCCCCTTTGATTGCTCCGCCTGCGCGCCCTCGCCCATCCTCTGGCGCGCCCCTCGCGCGGAGCGGCCCCCGCGAGGGGCGCCGCCGACGGCCCGGGAGGATGAGTTCGCGCAGCATCCTTCCGCCCATTTCGGCGCGCCCCCCACGCGGACCGCCCCCCGCAAGGGAACGCCACCCACGGCCCATTCCAGAAATATCTAATTTTTTGCATTGCAGCAGACACATCGCCCAGGTAATGGTCTGGCCCGCCATGCCGCGCGTAGCCCGGTGGAAAATGCGCAAGTGGGGGGGCGCGCGCCACGGATCGGGCAATTGGGCAAGCGACGAAGATTTGGATGAGGGGTGGGTGGTGCCATCCTGGTGATTTCTTAGGGTTGCGCGTGCTTCTCTCGGTATTTTTGGACCATTGCGGGGGCCCTTCGGGCCTGTTGGGGCCGGGTCGGAGGGCATGGGGGCCGTCCGGGTGGTTTCCCGGCACCTCTTAGACATTGTTTTGGGTCGTCGTGGGACGAGTGCCGGGTCCATATTGGCTCGTGTTTCGGACTTCTATTGCTGCCCTGGGGATTCGTCGGGGCCCAGGGGACCTTCTAGAATCTTTAGGAAACAGTCGGGGCTTGTCTTGGAGACGCGTCGAGCTTGAACGGGGAGACCGTCAAACACGCGCGAACGCCATCGGGCCTTGCACTAGTTTCACGTTTCGGGTACGTTCCGTCGACGATTGAGCTTCAAGGGTCGTCGCCAAGACCTCGTGAACACTTAAGAAAGCGCCCTTTACATATCGTCTTGGAAGGCGTGCTGAGGAAGGAGAGTTGGGAAGGAATGCGAGGGGCGTAGGATGATTGTAGCGGCCTCTGGCCAGTGCCGCCGATCCGGGGCGCTCCGGATAATGATGATGCTGATGATGATGTTGATGATGATGATGATGATGATGATGATGATGATGATGATGATGATGATGATAGGAGTGCGTGCACAGGCATGGGGAGGAGAGCAGCTTGTCGCCGTCCACGCTTTGCTCAGCATCTGCCCTTTGCTCCGCTCCACGCTCTTTTTGGCTCACAGGGTTGAGCCTGCGACCTTCGGCCTGGGCATCTTATGGCTGGAGGGCCCCTCCAGAAGCTGCTGCTGCTGGCGGGCCACGAGGCGTTGACCTACTGGCTTCTGCGCCCCGCGGCGCCTGTGGAGCCCGCGCGCCCGGCCTGCGAGTGCGTGTGCCCCGCGGCGCCCGAGCGGTCGTGCCCGTTGCCCAAGGCGGAGAAGGTGCCTGGCGGCTCGCCCTGGCACTCGGTGTTGCAGGCTTTCGGCGCGGGACTGGCAGGGCAGCTCCTGGGGCGCGGTCTCTGGGAGTGCGGTCGGCTCGCCTGCTCCTGCTGCGGTTGCCTCCGACGCAATGGCGATCGCGCCGCTCGCCGCCGTGGACTCGGAGTTCTGGAGGACTCTGATGCCGGGGTCTCGGCTGCTGGCATGGTACGCCGACGACAGCGTCTGGCACGAGAGGCTGGCGGCCTGGCCGATTAGCGGGCCCCACTGGGTGCTCCAGACTCCTGACAAGGACCTCTACCCGGAGTACTTGGACGGGTCGGACCCCGAGGGGCTCGAGCGGGCGATTCCCTTTCTGGTGGACGGGAGGCCCCCTCGGTTGGGCGCGCAGGCGCATCGGTTCCCGCAGCCGCCGACGGAGGACGAGCTGAAGGCCGTGATCCGCGAGGGGGCCGCACAAGCCGAGGAGATCACGCGGGCGGCTGGTCTGGAGCTGCAGCGGCCCGAGCGGGCGATGGTGCGCTTAGGGGAGGTGAAGGGGCTGGACGAGTTCTTTGGCGGGTGTTTTCTCCCGCGCCGCCGCACTCGGCGCCCCGCCGCCTCGGGCTCGGCTGCCATAGGCGATGAGGTTCCCGAGGTGTTCCCTGCGCGCGGTCCTGGACCGCCCATCGACGGGCATGTGTGGGCGTTGGCCGAGCCGTCCGTGATCGGGGCGGTGGGTTCCGTCGTGGCGCTCGAGGCGAAGGACGTGCGGGTCGGCAAGTACGATGCCTTGGTGGACCGAGGCGATGGCTATCGGCGGGACACCTGCGTTCGATCGGACCTCATCCCGCAGTTCGTCGCCGACTGGTGTGGCACGGCGCGCGCGGAGCTGCTGGTGGCTGGCCAGGACCAGCCGGAAGCGGGCCGCGCGCCGACCATCCTGGGAGAGGGCGCTGCCGAGCCTGGAGCGCCAGCCGCCGCCGCTGACGGCGGCGATGCTCGCGCTCTTTGGCTAGACTACGATGAGCAGGGCAGCCGGCACAAGGACTTTCGCAAGTGCTGCCAGGAGTCGCACAGCGTGGTCGACCCCGACTTCCCGCTGCAGGGCCCCGCGACCGTGCTCACGGTGATGCGCCACATGGAGCGTCACGGTGGCAACCCACGCGTGTGGCTCGCCATCTGGGCTCGGGAGAGGCGCATCGAGGACTCCGACCGCGTGATGCACGAGATGCGATGTCTCATCGACATCCTTTTCCTCGGGGCCACATACGACCAGATCAACCTGCCAGCGCTGGCGAGCATGGAGGTGGCCGTCCGTCGGATCCAGGCGATCATCGGCGCGTGCCAGGTGACGGGCAAGGCGCCGAACTGGCAGCTCGCGCGTTACTTCTCGGGGACTACGGCAGCGGTCGACGCCATCTCGCCCGAGATGCGCCAGTACGTGGCCAGGAGGGCGAAGGAGGGCGCGGACATCGCTGCAGGCGCTCAGCGGGCTCGCACGCTCCAGGCGAGTCCCGGCGAGGAGGAGGCTCCGGAGGGGAGCGCAGGAGGTGGATCCCGGGGGAGGGGCGGCCGAGGCCGCGCTGAGGGCCGCGGCCGTGGGAGTGGCGCCCCCCCCGGGGCCCAATGACCGCCCTTGAGCACGGCGGGGGGAATGGGCCCCCTCCCGCCGAGACGTTTCGGCCCACGTCGGCTGCCCTACCGCCGGGGCGGGGCTCGCGCTTGCTCTTCCCGGCCCCCCTGGTGGCGGAGGGCGTCTTCAGCCGACATCACCGTGAGCGACGTGGACCTCGTGGGCAGCGGCGTATCTTCGTGGTCGTGAACCGCGCGATCAGGGCGCTTAACTGGCTGGAGGGACTCGAGAGCAGCACATCCTTGCACCGGTGCGAGTTCACTGGGATGCATGATGAGGTCGTGGCGCGCATCGAAGGCCTGGTCAGATCCCAGGAGCCGACAGCTGACGCACCCTCTCCGAGATCGTCGTTTTTAGAGATGATCCGTGGCGTTTCCCTGTACGAGGAATGCCAATCGAACATTGCCCCCTTCCAGTTGCGCCTCGTCTCACTGCCTGCCGACGTCTCCACGGCGCCGTCCGTGCATGACCTCGTCGACCAGCAGGGGCGCCTTTTCTTGGAGGGTTGTGGAGAGCGCGTGCTACGCGACATCAGCGAGTTCGTGGACTTGCGGAGGCGGGGGCCCGTCAGGCCGTACTCTGACCCTCGCTTTGGTCGATCGCGTCGCTAGTACCTTCGGTTCATCCGGCGCCTGCATGGCATAGGCATGCTCCGGTGCACCACGCGGCCCATCGACTTCATCGGGCCCTTCTTCGTCTGGACGAAGGGCCCGACCAAGCAGAGACTCATTTTGGACGGTCGAGCAGCCAACCAGCGCTTCGCCCAGCCACCTCACGTCGACCTGCTGACCGCGGAAGGCCCGGCCTCCATCGAGGTTTTCGTGGACGAGGGCCCCGAGCTGACCAGCGTCCTCGGCCGCGGCGCTCTCCGAGCGCTTCGCATGGCCCTCGGCGTCGCAGACGTGGAGAACTGTTTCCACCGCGTGATCATGCCCCCGTGGATGAGCCGCATGTTCTGCTATGAGCCCGTGCTCGCTGCGGAGGTGGATCCCGCAGGCTTGCCTCTGGTCGAGGGCGACCTGGCCTCGGGGAGCACCCAGGTGTGGCCCGCCGCGCGCCCTCTGCCGATGGGCTTTGCTTGGAGCCTCTACTTCTGCCAGAACGCCAACACCGGGCTCTCGGGCAGCGCGCCGCTCCTTCGCCGCGCCCGCCTGCTGTCGGATCGCGGGGAGTCGGCCGCGTTCGAGACAGGCGCCCCCGTGACGGACCTCTGGCGGTACGTCTACGTGGACAACCTCGGGGCCCTGGGCAGGGGCGCCGACACGGTGGGCGCCGCCCTCTCCGAGCAGGTGCAGGTCTTCAGCGAGAACGGGTTGGACATCCACGAGGTCGAGCTCTTCACCGAGAAGGGCTCCGCGCTGGGTGTTGACCTCGATGGCTCGAGGCTTGCGACCTGCCTCACGCCGAAGCGCCGGTGCAGGATCGAGAGGGGGCTGCTCTACCTCCTCCAGCGTGGGCGAGCCAGCGGGCAGATGGTGGAGAGCATCCTCGGGCACTGTACCTACGCCGCCCTGATCAAGAGAGAGACCATGGCTGTTTTTGCGGCCTCGTACGCTTTCGTGCACGCCACTTACACGAAGGACATCGAGCTCTGGGACTCGGTCAAGGCGGAGTTCGGTGCTTTCTTGGGGCTGTTGGTGTTCATGCAGAGCGATTGGTGGCTGCCGTGGAACAGGGGCGTCACCGCGTCGGATGCGTCCCCCGAGGGCTTCGGCATCGTGAGCTCGCGCTGGTCACCCCGTGACGTGGCGAGTGTCGGGCGAGTCCGAGAGCGAGGTCGTTTCCGCCGCGGGGGGCCGGTTGCCCCCCGCGACTCCGCTATGACAGCCGCTGGGTTCGTGTTCGAGGACGGCGTCTGGCGGCCGCGCGCGGAGGAGGAGGTGGAGGAGGGCTGGCCCATCGTGGAGGGCTTTCCCGAGGTGCCAGCCCGCCTCCTCCATCCTGAGGGTTGGCGAGTGTGCCGCGCTGGTACGGGGGGGCGCCAGGAGCACATCACTTTGCTGGAGGCGCGCGCGCTGCTGGCCTCTGTGCGGCGGCTGGTTCAGGTCGCCGTCGGCGGCGATCGCAGGCACCTCCACCTCTGCGACAACATGGGCGTCGTGCTGGCTGTGGGTCGGTGCCGGTGCCGGGACTTCATGCTGCTGACCGTCCTGCGAGAGCTCACTGGATTCTTGTTGGCTCGCAATATTAGGCTTCACGTGAGGTGGGTTCCCAGCGAGCTCAACTTCGGTGACGAGCCGTTCCGTATCTTTTCAGAA